CCTATCTCTTATTATAATAAGATAGATTACATATGAAAGACTAACCAATTAGTTTAAAACAAAAAAAAAAAAATGCAGAATGGGGAGTTCTATGTACCTGCTGAAATTGTTGCAATTGAAGGTTCTTTCGGATGGATGTACATTTCTTGCATGTCACCGGGATCTAATAGAAACTTTCAGACGAATCAGGTGAACTGATTTGTACCAATTGTGATAAGAAATATAAAGAAGGAATGCAAGGTATCGGGTAAGAGTTATTGTTCTAGATAAAGGTCTAGATGATGCTCCCTTCCTATTATGGGATAGGGAGTGTTCTGAATTAGTTGGTATCCCAGCACACACAGTTTGTACACAAAGTATAATAAGGTAAAATTAAATTCTTCTAAACTAAACACGTACATACAGAGTCTGAGATGATATTTCTTACTAGAATGTATTTTATTTTTTTTTGGTTAGGTTTCTGACATTCCAAAAGAATTGGAAACATTAGTGGGTATGAGAATGGTATTTAGGATATATTAAAAATGGAGTTCATGAAGGGAGCTAATTCAGCGTACACTGTTATGAAAGTTCTAAGGGATGAAGCCTTAGTGTCAGCATACTGTTCTAAACTGATTGAAGACCAAGACAAGGACATGATATCAAAAATGTTAGATGAGGACGAGGAGGAAGAGGAGGACTCGGATCAGGTTTTGCTTATTTTATAAGTCAAATAAAGTTGTACAGTTTTAATCTTATGGTTGACAGGTTTTAGACTAAACTTTATTTTAATATGCAGGAAGCTTCAAATGGAGACAATGAGGTCAACAGTCCATTAAATCTACATCAGTCTCAAAGCCTAGACAATGATCATTCAGAGGCAGATGGTGTGAAGCGATCGCTTATGGACAGTTTTCATCCTCTAGCAAGAAGGGAAAAACTGTGGTGGTTAAACAAGAAAAATCTGAGCTGTTCTGGGATACTACAAACTATTACCACATTATTGTGGTTTTTTTTTTTTAATATTTTTAAAATGATCATTTGCCATGTTAAATTGGACTGTGTTTGTCCTGAACAATTTCATGTTATTGAGATCTATGATTAGACTATTTACCTTTGTTTTTACCTATGATTTTTGGTAAACATTCATTACACTATGTTTATTACATATACTGTTAGATGTATGAATCTGAATGCAGGACAAGAAAGAAGCAACCACAGGAAGCAACCACAAGGAATCAACCACATCACACAAGGAATCAAGCACAAGGAATCAAGCACAAGAATATGGTAGTTAAGGAAGCAAACACATTCAACTAGTGTAACACACAAGGGTTTTCAATTACTAATCTGTAGCAATCTGCTATTTTGAAAACTGTACTCTATCAATTATTAAGTCTGAATTCTTAATTGGACTCTATCAATGTAATCAAACTTATTATTTACAATGGTAACAGACTGTTCTGGTACTTTACAACTCACACACTTTAAATGTAGAGCATTAGCAAACTATCATCCAAAAGTGTACAACTTAGTCTTTGATCAGTATGATACAACAAAAAAAGATATATGCAATGAAAATGGACTCTATCAAATGTAATCAAACTTATTATTTACAATGGTAACAGACTGTTCTGGTACTTTACAACTCACACACTTTAAATGTAGAGCATTAGCAAACTATCATCCAAAAAGTGTACAACTTAGTCTTTGATCAGTATGATACAACAAAAAAAGATATATACAATCAAAATGGTTATTTATACAGACAAACATTGGTAATTAAAATAATGGTTTTTTCTCGACCAAAAAAAAAAATAAGTTATTTACATTGGAAACATCGTACTCTATTAAAATAATTAACTCACACACTCTAAATATCATCACTGGCAAACTATAATGAAAAGAAACTGCCTACACTTTTAAGTTTAAGCAGTTTGAAATTAAGTTTTAAATAAAAGAAACTGCTCACACTTTTGACTTTATTTATTAAGTTTCTGTATATTTTTGGTGTTTTTATGCATCAAAAAACAAAGAACAAACACAATACACTTATCATTCGTATATCTTTAAATAAACATTATTTAAAGAGTAAAAAAATAAAAACTCAGCATAAATTCACTTGGTCAGTTTCAAATGAAATTACATTTTAAGAAGTCAAATGTATACCGAACCCAAATCAAGCCTAGAAATGTCAATTAAAAACTCATACACAGGTAAATTTGAAATAGAGGAGTGACACTGCAAGTAACTTCCTCATTACAAAATAAAACTGTTGTTTTCAAATTACAAGATGTATGATCATGTCTATCTGAAACCAAAGTACACAATCTGGACTAACACTGTTGACATGAGGAAAAGTACATATCACACCTAATGTTAACACTACATAACAGTACATAGGACTCATAACAGTACAATTCAGACTAATTGTGATAAAATGTGAATACAAAATAAACAATTCAAAGTAATGTCTATTTGTGTTTTTTTTTAACATAACTATTACATTGGTCAAATTTCTAAAGAAGAAAAGTGTATAAATAACTCAATTAAATCCTAAACCACCAATCAAAACAACCTTTAAACAGTATATTCTTTCTATTCAGTTTTATTCTATTCAAAATATACTAAATAGAATATATTTAGGATAAATGAGTAAAAACATTTGGTAAACTGCAATCCATTGAAGTAAATATAATTTAAAACTGTTACACATTGAAATTTTACAATGAGTAGTAAAACTGCTCTTTTTAGCATTACAAAGTCAGACTGCTTTGGAACTGGATCAGCACAGTACATATGAGAAAAACTTTGACATTTTAGGCCTAACAACTTGGACATCACAGTACATATCAGATAACCTTTGGAAGATAAATTGGATGTACTAAATATTAAAAACGCAAAAACTATTTATATGAATAATAATTAAGGCTTATCAACCAAAAAGGGAAATAGACATGTAAAATGGTTTCTCTGCAATCCACTAAGTTGCTGTTTACAGTTAGGGCATCAGAACTGTAACTTCATCATTTGCCAAAGCTTAGAAAAAATGTTAGTCACAACTAAAATGATGAAGTTATTAGGATAACCTGGAACATTGAAAAGACCAAAAAAAAAGTGTAAACACAAAATCTGTTTACAGACTAGACAATAATTTATAGCATAGATAATGTACAGCATACTTAACCAGTCATCAGAAAACAAAACTCTGTACATCATAAACTAAATAATTAAAAGAAAGTGGGAACATGTGTATTCAATATCATAAAAACTAATTGGCTTTGTTGTTTTCCAATAAAAAATGAAGAGTCATATCATTGCTTTTCATCATTACTATTACACTGCACTCTTAAATGCTAAAAACCCAATAAAAGCTTAACCTATTTGAATACAACTATTTCTAATACAAATAAAATCACAACAAACACAGGAACATAAACAATAACAGCTCAGATATGAGGAAAATAGTTGCTTCTACAATAATAGGAAGCAAAAGGAAGCAAACATTCGACAATCAAGGTACCATAAACACTGCTTGAAACTGAAAATTTATACTTTACCTAAGAATTTTTGGTTCATTGCACAAATTTACACCTATTGAACTCTGTTGATGCCTGCTTACTTCCCACCTTTGAATGTGTACATATAGATCTAACAACTACACCTCTGCAATTAAATTAGGTATCATTTGGTTAGTGTATAATATCCTAGGAATACTAAGAAGCCAATAATGTCTGATGTTAGGTATATAGAGATAATACAAAAACAAATTAAAGATCTAGAATATGTTAAATATTCTAAGATAAGAATTTAGACAAACAAATTTGTACTCTTAAACTTATCTTGCATTTCAGTCCTTTAATCTGCATCTAAGTCATGAACACCGTACGGACCCATTTTCTTATCTGCTTGATCTAGAATTAGGAAACAAAAAAAAAATATTAAATTTGATCTACAATTAGACGGTAAGACTTAATCTATAAGCAAATACAAACTACGATAGGGTATAAGACTTGCTTACCTTACATCTGATGTAGTCGAATAGGATAGTAATTGAAGATTGAGATACGAAGCTTGACGTTAGAACCTTAAAAATGCCGATCCGATTCTAAAAACCAAGATCGGAGATTAATAGTTCAGATCCTCGAACAACAACTAAACCGATCTCAGTGTGGTTTTCACAAATGAACCCTAATCGGATCTTACTGCAATCGGTTTAGGGTTGAGATCTTCTACGAATTAAAGAAGATCTCAACACTGTAATGGCAGATGACGAGTTCTACTGTCGGAGATGGGGTTTTTTGTCTGAACAGATAGAGAGATAAGGTTAGGTAGATGTGAGAAGATGCTAGCTGTACGAGAGTGTGGAAGAGAATGGATCAAGAAATGGCAGATCCATCTAGAAGACCCCTAAATGCAAATGACAGTATTCTAACATTATATTTGGTATAATTAGTAGGTAAATTTTGCTTTGTTTTTTAATTATAGAATTATTGGTCAAATCTAGGTTGTGGATAATGGTCCACAATATTGTGTGAACAATTGGTCCATCATCTACATTTTTAATATACTCAAAGTATATTTAAATGTAATTTATTTATTTTTTTTGAATGTTAAATGTAATTTATTTCAATCACTTAAGTTATAATTTTTAAACTTATGGTACATTATATACAATTATGTACACTAGGTAGAATAAAAAGTCACTTTCACAATATATAACTTACGTAGCTCAATTTTCAGAAATTAGTATATTACAAATGTATTTTATTTGGAATTATTTTGATAATCATATCGTTATGTTTAAAGTAAAGGTACTTATCTATGAATATTTGCCTTTTAATTGCAGAAAATGTTGAAAATTCTCCGGTTACAAGTACTCATAACGCTATTTTGAAAAAAAATAGCTCAAAGTTACATACGGAATGCACACCACTACAAGTGGGTACTTCAAGTGATACACCAAAAAGTGGTCTAACAACAGGTAAACGCTCATGTCTTTTCAAATGTAATACCGTTTGGCATTTACTTAGGTCTAATACACTGTTTAGAATTTATTATTATTTTTTTTAACATTATTGGAAACCTGCAGTGAATCCAGAGAGTATAAATATAAATATGAGTACATGCCTCATGGAATATACGACAAAGCAAAAGTAACTCCAGACATTTTGTATTAGGGGCAGAACTCCCTATTCATCCTGTACAACAAGCTCTACACATCCCGGTTAGTTATATTAAGGCATATACTTAATATTATTTATTTCATATCAGAACTCGGATATCATCAATGACAGACACAAAAAATTTTCATTTGTTGCAGAGGGTACAATAACTATGTCGAACAGCACACGATCACCTCTACAAAATATATCAAAACCGTAAGTTCTAAAGTTCGATCTATTTTTAAGTTTGCTTAAGTAGTTATTTTTATTTATTGACCTTTTTTTCTACTTAAAATAAAGTCGCTACCAGACAATGCAACAAGAGTCCATGCATGAATGAGGGTAAAGACCATAGCCAAGATAATGTGGTCAACCGCGATTTGTTTCAAGATTTTGAAGAAGTTTGCAATACTAATCGCATTTTAGAACAAATGGAGACACTTGTGTGTAAGTTCAACATACACTAACATTTGCGAAGTTACTTTAAAAAAATGTTCAAGTTTATGTATTTAGTTGTTTAAATCAAATGTATTACTGTATCGTAGGATTGGTCGAAATTCTGCAACAACCTATACAACATATTCCAAATGGTAATTCCTTTATTATTTAGAATCTTACGTAAATTCAAAATTATTTTATGTGTACGTTATTATGTTTAGTGTAGAAACCAATCGCATTCACCTTTTTGATAATAATCAGTTCAATACGTGTATGCATAATATGAAATGTTTAAGGTCATCTTATATAATTGACCTAAATTATATATAATTATCAATGTAGTTGAATACAAAGATCTTGGTGATGCAAATAACAAGTGTCAACATTGTGGAGCGCTGTTTTGGCACGAAGAAAGGATAAACAAACAGTTATTCATGGCACCCCAAGATATTCAATGTGTTGCAACAACGGTAAGATTAAATTGCCACCAAACCTGAGGCCACCAGATGCAATTTACAATCTATTTTTTGGAGAAGGAGAAAAAAGCAAGCAATTCCTGCAAAACATTAGAACATACAATAGTATGTTTTGCTTCACGTCCATGGGTGGTAAAATAGATAGAAGCGTGAACAAGAACGGTGGTCCACCAATTTTCAGGATAAATGGCCAAAACTTTCACTACATTGGTAGTCTCTTGCCGGTCGACGGGAAAAAACCCCATTTTGCCCAGTTGTATATATATGATACTAATAATGAACTTAGTAATCGTATCAATTCTGTAAGGTACGTACCTGTTAATTAATTATATGTATACGTACAAGCATATTATACCGCACATCCATTCATATTATATGTGCATAATTCAATTGATTTTTTTGTCTCTTTCTAGGCCAGATGGTGAGCAAAACGGAATCCATGTAGAGATTGTTAATGATATTCAAGAAGTGTTGGATACATGTAATGTCTTGGTCAAATCATTCCGCATGGCACGATCTGAGCTACAAATGAATCCACTTGCTGAGGTCAAAATAAAATTGCTTGGGAAGAGATCAAAGGATGCCAGAACATACAATTTGCCGCAAGTTTCTGAAGTGGCAGCATTAATTGTCGGTGATATTGATACAAATATTGGAGAACGGGACATTATGGTGGAGACGAAAAGTGGCCTCTTGCAAAGAATTAGTGAATTAAATCCAGCTTACTTGCCGATGCAATACCCTCTGTTGTTTTCGTATGGTGAGGACGGATACAGGGAAGACATCCCCTTCTCTACATTAAAAGGAAACACAACTGGTCGTCAAAGGATAAGTCCTCGAGAATATTTTGCATACCGTATAATGTCGAGGGTCTCTGAGGTATCTACTTTATTGCATTCAAAGAGGTTATTCCAACAATTTCTGGTAGATGCCTATACAATGGTGGAGTCAGGAAGGTTAATCTATATAAGGACACACCAAAAAAGTTTGAGGTGCGAATCGTATAATTGCTTGAATGATGCATTAACACGCCGGTGAAGTTGACCCCACTACTCAAGGAAAGAGAAATAATATTGCCTTCGAGTTTTACAGGGGGTGCTAGATACATGATTCAAAATTACCAGGACGCCATGGCGATATGTAGATTGGTCGGATATCCTGATCTGTTTATCACATTCACATGCAACCCCAAGTGGCCTGAGGTACAACGCTTTTTGAATGATAGAAAGTTAAAACCTGAAGATCGTCCTGACATCATATGTAGATTATTCAAAATGAAATTGGATGCTCTAATCTCAGACTGTAGGAAGAACAAGTTATTTGGACCAGTAATGGGAGGTACGTTAATTAAATGCCGCTATTTCAAGATGTGCGAGAAAATTCACTGTACCTATTATTTGCTCTATTCTAATTTATTATTTCTTCTTATTTTTAACAGTGATATATACCATAGAGTTCCAAAAAAGAGGATTACCGCATGCTCATATTCTCCTGTTTCTGGATAAAATCAATGGAACCCATTCTGTCGAAAAATTGGACCACATTATTTCAGCTGAGTTACCTGATCAAGAAGCTGACGCAGAATACTACAAAGTTGTTGAGGAGTTTATGATGCATGGACCTTGCGGGAAAGCCAGGTTGACTTCTCCATGTATGTCGAATGGTAAATGTACTAAACATTTCCCAAAAAGTTTGTTAATTGCACAACTTTTGATGAGGATGGTTATCCTATATATCGGAGAAGACACAATGGTCGTTCCGTGACGCGCAATGGGATTAACTTGGATAATAGGTACGTTGTACCACACAATAGGCATTTGTTGTTAAAGTATAGGGCTCATATTAATGTTGAATGGTGCAATCAGTCCCGTTCAATCAAGTACCTGTTCAAGTACATGAACAAGGGTCACGACAGGGTTACAGCAGAGTTTTACAGGACCAGCAATGATCAAGATGGACCGCAGGTTATTGATGAAATCAGTATGTACTATGATTGTAGGTACATATCGCCGTGTGAAGCATCGTGGCGGTTGTTCGGTTTGATATACAGTTTAGGACACACCAGTGGAACGATTGAGCTTTCACTTGCCGAATCAACAAAGTGTTGTTTTCGCAGATGATGATCCCGTTGACAACATTCTCAGCCGGCCAAACAATCTTACAAAGCATGTTCCTGGAATGGTTTGAGGCAAATAAAACCTACCCTGAAGCAAGGAATTTGACATATGCTGAAATGCCAACGAAATTTGTATGGAAGAAAGATATTAGAAAATGGCAGCAAGGAAAAGAGGATTTTCAATCGGTAGAGTATTCTATGTGCCTCCTGGGTCAGGGGAGATATTTTATTTGAGGTGTCTTTTGAATAAAGTCAAAGGTCCCACAAGTTATTTAGACATACAAAAAGTTGATGGGTCGAATATGAATCTTTTAGGGATGCGTGTTGTGCTAGAGGATTAGTAGATGACGACAGGGAATATGTTCATGCTATAGAAGAAGCAAGTCACTGGGCAACACCTGTGAATTTGAGAAGATTGTTTGTCACTCTCTTGATGACTAACTCGATAGCAAAACCAGAGGTGGTGTGGGAAGCTGCGTGGATTCATTTGTCCGACGATGCACAATTCAAGATTAGACAAGAATTGGAATTCCAGGTATTGTATTTTTTCATTTTTACTGTTACGATACAATTTGACCAAAAAAATTATAATAGTTGTTAATAATGTTATCACAGATTGGATTATATCAGAAGATGAAAAGAAGAATTTTGCACTTACGGAGATAGAAATAATGCTTTCAGCTATGGGAAAAAGTCTGAAAGACTTTCAAGGGATGCCCATACCCGATTTAGTTAATCATTCTAGAACAACTAATCGGCTGATATAGGAGGAATTGGCATATGATGTTAATGTAATGAAGGAAGAGAATGATACTTTGGTGGAGAAACTAACTGAAGAGCAAAGAACAATATATGACAACGTATTGCAAGATGCTGAGAATAATCTTGGAGGACTTTTTTTTGTTTATGAATACGGTGGAACGGGAAAAACATTCTTGTGGAGAGCATTATCTTCGGCTCTAAGGTCTAAGGGTGAGATAGTTTTGAACGTTGCATCGAGTGGCATAGCTTCTCTTCTATTACCCGGAGGAAGAACTGCCCATTCAAGGTTCGCAATACCCATCGCTGTTAACGAAGATTCAACCTGCAATATCAGCCAAAGCAGTCCTTTGGCACACTTGATCATGCAATGTAAGTTGATCATTTGGGATGAGCACCAATGATGCATAAATTCTGCTTTGAAGCGTTGGACTGCTCTATGAGAGATATAATGCGTGCCAAGAATCCAAACAGCTTTGATATGACTTTTGGTGGAAAACAGTGGTGTTAGGTGGAGATTTCAGACAGATTCTACCAGTCATTCCAAAGGGCACGAGGCAAGATATTGTGCTAGCAAGTATAAATTCTTCCTATCTTTGGAGAAGCTGTAAAGTGTTAGGTTAACAAAGAATCTAGGGCTTAGGGCTTTGAATCAGATAGTGAAGTTCAAGAGATTGCGGATTTTGCAAAGTGGATTGCTAATATAGGTGATGGAACAATTGGTGATTCAATGGATGGAGAATCTGAGATAAATATTCCGGAACAATTTTTGCTCAACTGTGGAGAGGATCCTATTGCTACAATTGTTGATAGCACATTCCCTATGTTTCAAAGTGGCCACAGAGATCATGAATATCTAAAAGATCGTGCGATACTTGCGCCAACTTTGGATGTTGTAGATACAGTCAACGAATACATGAATGACTATAACAACGCTGAAGGAAGGACGTATC